ACCCGGTTGGGCCCGATCCTCCTGGCTGCTAGAACGGGTCGGGCGGGGGAGGGGGGGAACTGAGCAGAGCTTAGGGGGTGGGGCCTCGAAGCCAGGCCATGTCGGGGCTCAGCAAGAAGAGGGCCAGTGGGACTGCTGGGGTCGGGCTGGAGGGGATCTGATTGGGGGAAGCGTCTGGGGACTGCTTGGGGCCTGATTGGGGGACGTCGCGAGGATCGGGTGTGTGTAGGGGCCTGTTTCGGTGGGGCTTGGTTGGGTCTGATTGGGGGAGGCCGCACTGAAAAGTTGAGCGGGGAGGGGGGAGGGGAGCTTGTTGGGCTCTGACAGGGAGGGGCGTCAGACTTCGGCCTAGAGGGTTTTCCTGGATCTGACTTCGAGGCGTCGCTGGGATCCGTTGAGGGGAATGCCCCGGGGGGTGTTCACCCAGGCCGAACTGGGGGAGGCTGCAAGGATCGGGCCAGGGGGTTACCGACACGAGGTGGTGGGGGACTCGGCCCAACTTGACTGGGAGAGGCAACAGAGATCCGTCAGCAGGGGTTACTGCTGACTGGGTTGGAGGGGATTTCAGGAAGAGCCTTGGCCAGACCTGATTGGGAAAGGCGACTGGGATCTGTCCAGGGGGCTCCTATAGTGGGTTGGTCGGGCTTGGCTGGCTCTCATTCGAAGAGGCAACAGAGACCTATCTGGGGACTGCTTTGGGCCTGATTAAGGGGAATTCTTAGAATTTGGCTAGGGCACAGAGAGGGATATCTGGCATCCGCTGAGCTTGAAGGGCAGGAACAGGGGACAGGAGAGATCAGGACGATCGTCTTGGGACGGTGCATCTGGGGAAGCTCAGAAATTGGACTAGGGCAGGAGGCCTCTGGGATTTGGCAGAGGTTAAGGGCCGAGTGTCGGGGGAAGGGGACTCTTCAGGGACTGTGCCTGCACGGAAGAGACCACGGGGGCCGGGGCGCTATCACGGTCTGGGGCGGGGCCCCTGGATGTGGAGGCGGCTGGGCCCTCGCCCAGCCGCTGCGAGGGAGGTAGAAGCCTTCGGGCTCGGAGCCG